CACCCTGTGCTTTTGCTCGTTGGCGCTCAGAGATCATTATCATCTGTGCTATCCCAATCTGATACTTTGCAGAAGAGCTGCGATTGCTTTACAGGATTACAGCACTCTGGTTTGAATAAGTGCAAACACAAGATAAGATGGTAACAAGCCTTCCCTCAGGAACACAGCTTTGTGATGCCATGGACAAGAACTCTGTATGTGGCTATTATCATAGAATATCAGGATTGGAAGGGACCTCAGGAGGTCATCTAGTCCAGTGCTACTCAAAGTGGTGGTCCGCGGACCGGCGCCGGTCCGCAAGCCATCGGCTGCCAGTCTGCGCGCACATTGGGGGAAAAAATTGCCGGTCCCCCACGTCAGATAGCTTGAGAAGCACTGACTAGTCCAACCCCATGCTCAAAGCAGGACCAATCCTCAACTAAATCATCCCAGCTAGGGCTTTGTCAAGCCTGACCTTGAAAACCTCTAAGGAAGGAGATTCCCCCACCTCCCTAGGTAACACATTCCAGTGCTTCACCACCCTCCTAGGAGTTGATCTCTCCAAGGTACCTCCATGGCCCCCATCTCTGGGCACCTCACCACACCCCCTGTGATGTTGAGAAGTGCTATTATACCCATTTTTCTATATGGAGAACTGAGGCCGAGAGCAGCTAGGTGAGTTGCTCAGGCTCTCACAGGAAGCCTGTGGCAATGCAGGGATTCGAACCTAGGTCTCCCATGTCCTAGGCTAGTGCCCTAACCACTGGACCATCCTTCCTCTCTGTTGGTCCCTTATGATAATCTCAGCTCTGCCTGCTGGCTCCCTTTTTGCAGGCCAGGAATAGGCTTGTCAGTTTCATCCCCAGCCCTGTCCAGTGTAGCTAAGTCAGCCTAAGTTCTAGGTGTAGACTAGGCCTGAGCAGAGGGGAACCAGTGATATGGCGGGGCAGCTGCAGCAGGGCAGGGACACGTTTGCACTGTAGCTCTCTGCAGGCTGGCTGGTGGGTTTATCAGTGAGGCCTCTAGCTGAGAAGCTGGCATTTTTGCAGGAATAGGAGGCAATTTGTTGCTGTTGTGGTCACAGACGTGTTCAGGGCCTGTAGCCGTCTGGCAGGGAGGGGCTGCTCGCCCGCGTGGTGACCCGTCTCCTGGTTCACTCGATTAATCGTTGACCTCAGGGTGGAAGATGGGCACTTGGACATAGTGGCAGCTAGTGCGCTTCTGCTCTGCATCCTGGATTCCATCTGGTGCGCAGAGGCCTGTTTCCCAGTGCCTGCAAAGCCACAGACACTGGAAGGAATCAGTCTGTCTGGAGATTAATGAGATAGGGTTGTGTGACCAGGTCAGAGCAAGCCTTCTCTTGGCTGTGTTAGAGAATTCCTGCCTGCATTGCCCCAGGCAGCGAGGAGTGTCCATGGTCCCTTCTGGAGGGGGCGGACAGGTGATACCTTAGTGCAAGGGGCTGTGACTGCCAAAGGCTCCTGTGGCTCTGGGAGGAGAATGGGGCACTCCTGGGTAGCCCTCCAGGGAAGCATCATCAGGGCAGGGGGAGGAAAGTGGTGAGGAGATGCCGGGGCAGCCAGGGTTGGGTGGCAGTGAGGATCGGCTAGTGACTCAGCCCTGGGAGCACCCCTAACTACGTAACACCCACTGTGGCTGGCTGGTGTTAAAAACACAAGGCCCCTCTTTTCACTGGCCTTCCCACAATAGCTCCCCAAACAAGCCCACCCCGCCCCGCGCCTGGCAGCCGAGCAGCAAAGGGGGAGCGTGCGGCCTTGGCTAGTTCATCCCATGCTCCCGGGGTCCTGGCATCACTCGGACACCATGGCATGGGTTCGGTGGGAGAGAGCTGCAGCAGGCCCTCTGGGGGAGCGCTGGGAAGTTGTGGCAGGGTGGGTAAAAATCTGTGGCTGCTCAAACACCTTCCAGCCCGAGTGGGTGTGATGCGGCGAGGGACACTCTGTCCCAGCCTTTTACACACACTCTGGCACATTGGCATCTGCACTTCCTGGGCTGGCGTCACGCAGAGTAATTCAGTCCATTGCAAGGGAGAGGGAGGCAGGTCTGCTCCCCTTTTGCTGGACGTCAGGAAAGGGCAGTAACAAGGGTCAAAAAAAAGTCCTAAGATTTTTTTTCCTAAAACCCCTTGTGCCTCGTTGATGAAATGGTTACTAGGAAGGGAGTGTGCCGGTTCTGACCAAATTAGAAGCTCTAGCCCACTTCACCCAGCCGCCTCTCCTCAGGAGACTGTCGAGCCCCTCGAAGCTCAGGGAGTCTTGCTAATCTTGTGGCTCTTTGTCCAAGCCGAACCTAAGCTACAGAGTTCACTGGTGAACCACATCCATGACTCAGAAAGGGTCATGGAGTTCAGGGCAGCATTGTTGCAACCCAGGGATGTTGTTGTGTCCTTCCCCGTCAGCGTGGTCTTTGCCACGTGCTGTGTTCAGAATGATCCTCGTGCAGCTCTGCGCCCCTCCTTAACCACCTGCCTGGGGGTAGCAGGGAAATCGGGCCTCTCTGCCGCAGTGCAGGGAGAGGGACTACGAGCATGTGACATATTTGACCCTGTTTGTGTAGAGGGGGTGGGACCAGGCCAGTGAGGGAGGAGGAGCTGAGGTAGAGGGAGAGTTTCAGTCTCAACTGAGCCTTTTGGTGGGTGTAAATCAGACCCGTCGCATTCTGGAGACACGGGTCCCTGGAGGTTGTGAGATTCCTTTTTGCCGTGAGAGTGCTACATGCAAACCCAGCCGCCTTGAAATGAATGCAACAGTTTGTTAGCATTAGTGAGTATTATTAATGAATGACACTAAGTTTAGCCCCATACAGGCTGCTCTCGCTAACCCACAATGAGGTCTGAAAGATCCCGCCCCCAATTTCCTGCCATCTAACGCCCTCCACTGCTGCTTCCTGTCTATGCAGATGCATTGGCAGCAGTTCCTCTAGTGTGATCTTTTGGATGAATGAGTACGTGCATTGGGGATTTGGCTAGACAAGGGCATTTTTCTGGCTTTACCCTGCAGGCACAGAAGCACTTGCTTGTAGGGCCTTGTTATTTACGCTTGCATCAATGCACGAGTCTAAATGTCCTGTATTGATTTGATGATGCGGCATTTAAATAACCAAACGGCTTCTCTGAACTTGCCTGATTCTTCTAGCAGCTGTGTGAATTGGTTTGAGAGAACATCTCTTACCTTTCAAGGGGCTCCCTCACCCCAGAGAGAGGAGCACTGTTTCCAATCCCAGATCTCGATATAAACCCTTTAGAGCCTGCCCCTCTGCAGTGAGTGCCACATCAGTGGAGCTCCGTGCCTACACAGGCCCAGTGGCTGCCCATGCAGAATTCATTGCAAGAGCGGGAGTGGTCGATACTTAGAGACATTTAACTATCGCCAGCCCTGAGAGCCCAGGCTTCCAGCTAATCTGGGTTTACCTGCCCCAGAAATCTCCTGAGACAGCCTGTTGCAGGCTACAGAGCTTCCAGCGGATCAGAGGAAGGTTTGAAAAGCAATTGCGTATTCTCTGAACTGTGGTTCCAACCCTTTCAAAGTTCTCTCGTCACTATGTCCGATTCTTCGCTGCTTCACGCCTCCTGTTGTCATTTTCACTAGTGCCCAGCAGGCGTGAAAGGCTGCCCTTCTGATCTGGCTGGGCTTCCTGCTCCCGTTGTGCAGGTGCAGATGCCACCGCAGGGCGGCAGGCAGCAGAGAATCAGCCTCGCTCTTGACGGTTGCCATTTGGTTTGTGGCGAGCTGGGATCCCATAAAATATAAACCCCCACCCCACACCAATAGAGAGGTGCTGAAGTCATGAGCGCATCCTTAAAGTGAAGCACGTGCCTCCAGTACTTTGCTGAATCAAGGCCTTAAAGAACAAGATGTTTTCCTGTCACTTCCCGTAGCCCATTTCAGTAGCTCTGCACGTCTCATTTAGCACTAACCCTTTGAGGCACAAGAGTTGGCTTGGCGCAGAACGCTGGTGCACGGGAGAGCTGTGTTCACAGGCAACACTGGGGTGTGCCATCAAATCGCACGTCTCTGCCACAAAGCACCTTCCTAGCAGCTGCAAACGGGCTGCACAGATCATTCGGGATCAGCCCTTCTGCGGATCAGTTCAGTTGGAGGTTTCTTCCTTTCAGCCTGTGGAATCCTCTCCCCAGGAAAGCTGCACTAGGCAAGCCCCGGTGGATGTACTGTAGGAAACAGTCCTGTATTAGCTGGGGAGGAGCGTGGCTTAATAAATCATTTCTGTCTCTAATTTCTACGTCTCTGTGGAATTCCTTTCATTTGATGCTAGCCAGAAGGAGGGCTGAGGAACCGGGCCTCCCCCGTGCTGTCTTCCTGCAGCTGCAAAATGGAATCCAGCATCATTATTATCGTTTTAGAAAAGTTCCTGTTTGGTAACATGAAATGCCTGGAAGCAGGGCGGGCTCCTGCACGAACTGTCTTGGAGGACTTGTGGCACCTTAGAGACTAATAAATTGGTTAGTCTCTAAGGTGCCACAAATACTCCTTTTCTTTTTGCGAATACAGACTAACACGGCTACTACTCTGAAACCTCTCTTAAAGGAGGGTAAAGACAGGTGGGTGCCTCACACCCAGCAGCGTTTGGGGCAAATGGGAATAACAGCTTCTCAGTGAAGTGTCTGTCAAGCTGTGCGGATTCTCCCTCAGGTGATCTGGGGTCAGGCTCACTTCTTTTGTGCAGAATGTCTTGCGTCGCTTGACCCGACATGCATTGCGTCATTGTTAGCCTCATAGCTTCTGTAGCCTTTCCATTCACCTTAATGGGCTTTGGATCAGGCCCCTAAGCACAGACCCAAAAAGGGCTCTGATCTCTGCATTCAGCTTTCTGACCCGCTGGCCTGCAGATGTCCACACCGTGGCTTAAGCAGCGCTTTGTTGTTTGTTTCCCCTCTCAGTCAGCCCCTTCAGCATAGTTTAAATGCGCTTGTTTGGTTTAGTCCAGGTGCTAAGATTTATCTGCCTCAACATTTCTTTTTTGAATTGTCCCTTGTTTTGCAGCAGCAGCAGCAGATGCCCCGTAGCAGCCAAGAGGAGAAGGATGAAAAAGAGAAAGAAAAGGAGAAGGAGGCAGAGAAGGAGGAAGACAAACAGGAAGCAGAAAACGATAAAGAAGAACTGACAAAGTAAGCAAGTTTTCGCCTTTCTCTCTACTCCTCACCCCTAGGGATCATAGTGTGCACTGGTCTGGGAACGCATCATCTCAATGCTCCCTCCTTCAGGAGAGCCGCACTGGAAGGAGTGGGAGGGGAAGTGGTCAATGTTTTGAAGTGCATCCAGCAGAATCTGGGCTCTGATCCCAGTACTGGGTGATCCTTTTGCAGGTTACCTTGGATGTGCTGTGTGTATCGCTCTCTTCTCCTAGCACGGCGCAGGCTAAACCTGCTGCTAGCAAAGGAGCGAGTCTATTCATTTATAGGTTTCCCCTCTTCCCCCACATTCCTGGCGAGCCTAGAAGAAATCACTGACTTGCTTTATAAAGCCGATCAGTCCATGAAGCAGCTTTGATACCAGGGTTTATTTTATTGTTGCAAGATATTGCTGAGCCTCCTAGAGTCAAAGCAGAAATCAGGATGCAGTGGAGCATAGAGCTTCACCTTTAGTGGTGTTGAGGTCAATGTGAGATCTTCCAGCTCAAGGGACGGACCAGTTTTATAAGTGTGCCTGTCTTAATGCTTGGCCCAGCATGGCTTAGCAGGGAACGCCGGATTTGTTGCTGGGAAAGGTTGGCAGGCAGACTGCTAGCTATCTGTAATGGGCTTAATACTTGACTTAGGAGAACATCTGGCTTCATTATATCCAGGCTGCCTAGACATTTACCAGCAGGTCCCTTTCAGAAAGATAAATGAGGAGGAGGTGATGATAAATTTGAATGGCCCAGCGTTAAACCTGTCTCTGTCAGGTCTCTGCGCGCTCTTGGAACTGCAACCATCTGCAAAAAAACCCAAAAAACCCCAACCCACCCAAAGTCAGGGAAAGTGCCCTCGTTGCAAACTCCTGAAATAGATCCCGTCACCCAGTGATTTCCCCGCTCTTGCAGGGAGAAGAATGACGACACGTCTGGGGAAGATAACGACGAGAAAGAAGCCATCACTTCCAAAGGGCGTAAAACTGCCAACAGTCAGGGCAGGCGCAAAGGCCGCATCACCCGTTCCATGGCTAATGAGGCCAACCATGAGGAGGCGGCTGCTCCACAGCAGAACACAGAGCTGGGTACGTACCGGCTAGGCACAAAGCCTCCGTAACTCAAGGTGGGGAGGAGGGATTTGTAGCAATCCAGCCAGCTGGGTGGAGGGAAGGCCTTAGGAACAAAGGCTGCTGGGTTTCGCCTCTGTTTTGTCACTGATTCATTAGGCAGCCTGGGACAAGTCACCATGCCTCAGTTTCTCTATCTGGACATGGACAGTATTCTCCTCCTCCTACAGCCCTGGCTCTTTAAAATTCCTCCTCTCCTGAGGAGTGTGAGTGACGTTTCACCAGCACCTCAGGATTACCCAGTGGAATTCATCTAGCTGGACAGGAGGCATCTCAAAGGGCCAGGCCTGTGTCTCACCAGGTGAGGTTTGCATCACGTGGAACCTCAGCTGGAAAGCGCTGGAGAAAGGCAAAGGGAATCGTGCCATTTTCAGCAAAGCCGTGCGATCTTCATGCAGGCATCTCTCTACTGCCGGTGGCTATTGAGTGCGAGGCCATCCTTGGGAGTCTGGCTGGTGGAGTGTCTTACCATGTGTCCTGAGGCGGGCTCAGACTGTCCGTGAGAGCTCCACAGCCAGCAGATTCCCAGGGCGCTGCACCTGCCCGGGGGCCTCGCTTGGAGTCATTTGCTCATTCTCCCTCCCTGCCCTGGCCCCCCGCTCCCTCCAGTTTATAGTGTGCCTGGGCTCAGAAGCAGTAAGGATGAGCGACGGCTCTGACGCAGCTTGTTGCAGTGACCGTGGTGTCGGAAATCCAGGCCTTGCCTTTGTGGGTACCACAGATGATGGCTCGGTGAAGGGAAGGCTGGGACAACTCTCTACCTGTAGCCTGTGATGCCATGTTTCTTCCAGAGTAGGAGATCCTCAGCACATCACTTACTCCTAATACTTTCTGTCCCACGTGGTCTGTGCTTGGGACTTTGCTTGTTGGGCTAGCCTGTTCAACGCAGCTCTGATTCCCTGCCCCGTTTCAGCCAACCTCCCTGCTGTGCAAACATGTGTGCAGTGATTTCAAATGAGAGGACCCAATATGACAACCCCGGAACATCCTGAACATGCCATTATGTTTCCTGAGACTTTAGGGCATCTCAGGCTGTCAGGGTGGTACCCGGGGTGTCGTCAGAAACGAGAGAGAGAAGTCAAACTGATCTCACCCTAAAATGCAGGGACAGACGGCTAGCGTAGCCCTTAGTTTGGAACGACAGGAGACAAGGATCCTGCATGCAGCTGAGACCCATACAAAGGTGATAGCTTCCACTGCCAGCCACATGGGGACTTGTAAGTGTTGAAAAGTGCCATATCCAGGCGATGGTAGATGGTGTGTGTCTTTCCCTCTCTTCTATGACTGACAGAAAGATGGTGGTTGCCCCTGGGAACTATCCAGGGCTGTCTTTGATAAACCGACTGCAGTATTTGCCTGATTCCCTATAGCAAATACTAAAGAAACATTGATCCATGCAAGACAATTAAAAACATTTTAGGGGTGACCTGCCTTCTGTCTATTGGAGAATTTCCTTACTGAATGCGGTGTCTTTATTAGTATAAATTATGTCTGTAAATGTCCGTTGATTCATCTGCTGAGTATTGACTAAACCCGTGACTGAGCTCTCCAGGGCAACGACTGTCTTTGTGGGTATAGTGCTAGCATGCAGGCATTATGCCAATAGCTATCGGGAATAATCCCAGTCATTTAGGTAGCATGTTTCCTCCAGAGGTCTCCAATGGAATCATAAGCGGGGAGAAAAGACTGCTGACAATAGTAAAGTGACCAAAAAATGGGCTGATGTCACTGGCCTGCCAAAACAATCGGTTACACTTTGTGTCTCCCCAGGAGTGATTTAATTTAGGTTGGCAAAGACAGTTACCGCATGTTAAATACCCATTGAACATTAAAAAACAAACAAAAACCCCATACTGTGGTTTAGCTACAGCACGTTGCAGCTCCCAGTAGACATCTGTTACGTAACTGCTCAACCTCCATAAATATCATTAATCAAACCCAATAGGCCATTTATCTGACATTTATTTAACATACACTAACAATCTTATTAAAACGCAATTAAATGCCTAGTCAAGTGTGTTTGGGATACTTAAAGCAAATAAATTTTGAAGCCCTAATTTGCCCATGGAGGGGGAAAGAAAATTCACAGGTATTGATTTTGTTCTACCAGCTGAGCTAACATGTGCTGGCTGGATCTCTGTGGGGACTATATTTCTAATGGAGGAAATGACCTGCAGTGACTTCCACGAGGTGACACCTGCAATCTGGTGCAGTCAGCTATGAAGAAAATGCATTTTTCTCACTCCCAGGCCCTGGTACCTAACAGGTTGTGGGCATCAGAGCTGTACTCTTCCCCCTCCAGAGCCCAAGAGCCTTTACAAGCTTCTTGGAGATGCTGCTTCTCCTCCCCACTCGTGTCCTTTAACCTAGCCTGTTGGCCTAGTTTCCATTTTAAAAGAACATGGTCAAAACCTCTTTCCTCAGTGTTGAAATAATGCTCCGCCTGTTGGCAGCTGAAACGGAAATCTGTTTTCTTACTGGGGGCTGTCTGTCTCTGACTCACATACTGGTTTGTTGTTGTCGGTTTGCTCACATGTGCCAGGCTGCCAGCAGGATTATTTCAAAGTGAAGACATTACTCAGGCCCACAATGTCCAGGGCATGGAGCATGGGGGTGGAGAATATAAGTGAATGCTGGGCATAGCTGGCACCCATCTCTTACTGTGCTGGTTGGAGGGCACGGTCGCATCCAGGCCTCTGGAGTGTCACTGTTGCTCTGAGGTTCTCGTTGGGTGTGAAAGTGACTCAGACGTAGCCCAAGGTGCTGCATGCAGAATCTCTGGAAATCTCTGATCGCCTGGGCATTGCACCATCTCTCTGAGTGCATCACATTTGCTGACGACTGGCTCCCCCTACTGACTCTCCGCTCCCCGGGGGTTGATCAGTATTGTTGAGTTGACGACATCCCTGCATCCGGGCTGAGTTCTCAGCTCTTGCCACCCCACCGACGACACCTCTCCACACGATTAGACTAAAATCAGTAACTGCGTCACCTTTTTTCTGCAAGACCAGGGCGAGTGGGACCATTATATCACTGGCAAAACACAGTTTCCCTAACGGGGCTGGCTTGGTTTTCCCAGCCCAAAGCTACCTTCCGCTCAGACCTTCCGTCAGTGTGCCGAACACTATGCTGGCTCGGCGATATTGGGCCTGGCACCTCCCCATATCTAAGCCTGGCACGGAGGCTTGTGAAGCACTTTGGGATGCTCAGATGAAAGGCGCTATCCGTGTACAGTGTATTCTGATTGGAATGGCTGGCATTTGGGCGCTAGTCACCCTCCTGAGATTTTCTGGCTCAGTTGCTGTGTTTCGTACATTTAAATACCTCTCGCCGTGACCGCTTGGTTCTGTCTCTTTATTTTTCAGCTTCTTTGGAGATGAATGAAAGTTCTCGCTGGACAGAGGAAGAAATGGAAACGGCCAAAAAAGGTAATATACAATACAGTTTTTCCCCCCATCTGCCAGTTCTGATGGTCTGGAAAAGAAGCCAGTCTGTGGAGTTAGATGGTACTCGCCCAGCACAGACAACATGGGTGTGTTACCACACTGAATCTTGGGGGCCTGATTCTGCTCTTCTTTACACTGCTTTCACCCACTGTGTAAACCCATTGACTTCAGTGAAGTGACTCCTGATTTATGCTCGGTTTAGGCGAGCAGGAGCGAGGACTTGTATAGTCTGAGAAAAGTGCTTTTGTGTTAGTTTTGGTAACAAGCTACAAAGTTGGCAGCAAGTTTGGGGATTTTGTCAGCGCTTGCTCCAGGAGTCATACGTGATTGATTTGGGTCATGGCAGGACAAGGTGGTGTAGCATTGTCCGGGCTCTGTGCTGAAGCGAGGTCGCTACAGGAGGTGGCTGCATGGCCAGAACTCGTGTCGGTGTCGAACTGGGAGAGCAGGTGGTGGTTTGCAGGCCTGGGCTAGATAGCTGGGGTTTAGCTCTGTGTCACGGAGTTAAAGACTGGAAGGGCTCATCTAGTCTGACCACCTACATATCACAGGCCATCGAACACCACCCACCCACCTCCACACCAAGTCCAACAGCCAGAATTAGACCAGAGTATTTTAGCCTCAGGAGACTGAACTGTTGTGTGCCACAGGCAGAAAACTGGAGGGACCAAGGTGCCCAGTGCCCAAGGTCCCTGCAGTGGCAGGAAATTGTTTTAGTGAGATATACCCAGCCAAGCCCAGCAGGTAATCCATGACCCATGCAGAGGAAGGCGACCCTCTGCCCCTAAGGTCTTTGCCAATCTGACCTGGGGGAAAATTCCTTCCTGACCCCCAATTTGGGGTCACTTTCCATGTGTTCGTGATACACACGTGGCCCCACACTGGTAAAAGGCATGTACCCTGATGTCCATGCAGGGGGACTCCCATGTGTAAAGAGAGTAGAAGATAACCTCCCCAGCCCATAACTGCACAACTGCAGTCGCCCACTAATGGCAAGTCAGAGTTTCTGATCTCTGCCGCCTCCTTTGGAGGATGTGCTGCTGTTCGTAAAGCGACTGCCACTGACGCATCATCGGCCGAGAGCCCCCAGGCCCCCGAAGTGCGATCGCAGATGGGGATTCTCCTGCTGAACGCTGCGACAGGGCTGTCCCTTTAACCGGGGCGAGGCTGCTCGCCGGAGGAGGTTTGTTTTGTGTCCTGTGGCCGAGAGAGAGAGAGAGAGCCCATCGCTGAGACCGTTGTGTAAATGTGCTGAGTGTAGCAGGCTCCCCTTGCCACTTCCCCCTCGTTTGTCGGACTCCTGTGCCAAGATTTCTGCTGTTTAATTTTTTCCAAAGTCATGTCCTGTTGATCTGCAGTTGAGTTCCCAGCCCGTGTGGAGTGCAGCCCTCTCAGCTTGCTCCCTTTCTTCTGGCCTGTGAGTAGTGTAGACGTGCAGCTTCAAATGGAAACGAGCTTCATTTGGGGACAGCAAACGCAGACAGACTTGCTGGCAGGTGTTCGATCAGCTGGGGAAAAGTCCCTGCAGGAGGCACCTGGAGCATAGCCTCTGGCCTCTCACGTGCCTGCAGCATCCCGGACTCGGTTTGTGTCGAATACGAATACACCGATATGTTTGGCTTGTTCTCATTTGAGCCATTCGGACCCTCTATAAACCCCTGGGCCAGTCTTGTGTACGGCCAAGCATTACTCTCTCTAGACTTGTCACGAGATAGACTTCAGTCAGGCTGCCTGGCTGAGCTCCAGCTGCTGGGATTAGCAGCTGCCGGTCAGTGGATTTCTGCTGTAAGGATCCCTTTGAGCAGCCCCCTCTTTCCGATTTTACTGTAGAAGAGCCATGTAGGCTGCACTGAAAGGAACAGTCTTGGTAGCCACCCACCTAAGCCAGCATGGAGGATGGAACTTTGGGGAGGGGGCATCCAGTCGCCCCAGCACCTGTCCAATTTGCATAGAAAGGCAGCAGGCAGTGCTCCAGCCTACGCAGGGTTGGATCAGTCCACGGGAGCGTGGGGTTTGCCCCCCCCCCCACACTTCACCTGGCCACTTGCATGATGTTTCCCCCATGCAGTGGCCTGGAAAGTAGCGAGGTTTCTGTCTCAGGTGTCTGCAGGGAAGCTAAATTCCCGTCTTGCCAGGCCCCAGCCAGCTTCACAAGGCATTTTCCTGTTGAGTGCACCCAGCGAGTTTGAATGCGCTCTAACCGGCACTTCCAAAGCTTAGGGCTGGATTATTTTTTTTAGCCTGCAGCTGGTTGGCATTCTGAACATTCAAAAAGAACCTCAGTCGTCAGTCCCAGTCTGATCCTTCCAGCTGATGGCTGTAAGGGTAAAGCCCAGCAGCACGTATGCCAAGGAACTTGGTTTGGGGCAGTAAAGCAGTGTAGTTGAATAATCTCTCCGGATTGCAATCTGGGTGAGCATATTCAACAGCACTTGCAAAGCGATGCTGAACGGAGAGATTTTAAGTAAGAGAAGGAGGTATTACGGACATAGGGTGAGACAACAGTGGGGAATACCATATTATTAAAGTTAACTAGAGGAACGAGAACGTTGTACGGGTGAAGTTCTTGTTTAACAACACTTTTATTTTGTAATAGACTTTGATTCGATAGTCTGCCAAAATGTACAGCGACTGATGTAATTATGGGGCCGTGTGTTCTGATATCATAGGCTTCTTCCATTGCGACTGTGATTCAAAGGTATAAGCAGGCAGTTTTGATTAGCTGTAGTTGCTCCAGGAGTTACCTCACTTGCTTTTGGACCGGGTGGTGGGTAGACAGCAAATCCACTCCCATTGGCTTGGACCTCAGGCTGCGTCAGTTTGGATGGAGTTTTCACTTCAGGATGGTTTATCCTTGCTCATGCTCTCACGCCCCGGACCTGGGAGTGCTTAGCTCGCTGCTAGGTTCGGGGGATTTATTGAAGAGCTAGTGACCATTCTAGATGCAGCTCAGGGCTTTCCCCAAAGCTTTAACATGTGGTTTTACTTTGCAAAGGGACTATGTAATGCTGGCACCTTCTTACTCAGCAGCTTTTCCTCCCTGTGCATCACTGGGGCTTAGATCTGCTGACTTCAGGAACAAAAATAAGCTTTGGCCACTTTCAGTCGTGTGAACTGTGCTGGCTCTGCAAGCCTAGGGCTAAGGGGTCTGTCCCACTTTGGGCCTCCTCCGCTCCTGTTCAAACACATGGCAAGCATTGGATTGACACAGGTGAGGGCATACTCAGAGGAAGGTGGGCGGCTGCGCAGGTGTTGTTTGGCCTGCAGCACCTTCAACTCAGGTGATGATGCACAAGAAGGGAAGCGACCCCCACTTGATTCTCAGATAGCCAGGCTGAGTTTTCAGGGCTGGCAGTTAGAAACACCAGCCTTTTTACTTGTAAACTAGCACGCACATTGACATTAAATGAATTAAACGGGTCCACATGAAGCCGCCTTCTTAGCCTTCTTCTGCTTAGCTTGCATGTGTGTGGAAACACACTTCACTGTGTGTGTGCACGCAAAACGTCCAGATTTCTGCTCTGTTGCCCCCTTCTGCTCTGTTGCCCCTTGTGCTCTTGCAAGGAGCTGTCAGAGTAAGCGGCAGTGTAACACTGCGAAGGCACTGGGTATGTCCCCTGGTGCAGAGAGAACCCCTCACCACCACACATGCAATCACCCACGCTTGCTCCGTTCCAGTGTAAAAACCTGCTGATTGAATTAAACCTTGGAAAGAGAAGCTGTGTGTCAGACCTGTCTGGTCTTTGGCTCACTCCCCCTTCCATGACTGCTGTGGTCTAGCCGGGAGGCAGGCATAGGTACTGGGACATCTCCATCATTGGAGGTTTTTAAGAGCAGGTTGGACAAACACCTGTCGGGGATGGTCTAGATAATACTTAGTCCTGCCTTGAGTGCAGGGGACTGGACGAGATGACCTCTCGAGGTCCCTTCCACTCCTATGATTCTATGACATGAAGGTATACGGGTAAGAGAAGTGGAAATGAGCATATACAACATTAGGTAATTCTCCTGGACTGGTCGAACCCTTGTGTTGGCTGGGGAGCATCACCAGGTATTGGGGGCAAAATCAGATACAGGGGCCAGATTCGCACCAGGGGGATCCCTTGCCTCTGTGAAGCATCAAATTGAGCAAGAGCATAGCCTGGCCCTACCTAGCCCCAGGGTAGCCTCATGCACTTCTGGGGCCGGGTGGCCTGGGGCAGGAAGTGGCAGATAGTTTGCACTGCGGTGGTCCCCACTCCAGCCCAACAGACGAATGGGGCGGGGGGCTAGAATTTGTTAGCCTCCTGTGTTAGCATCTGCATAGCTGACCCTTAAGAGGTGAGGAATCTCCCCTCCCCCAGCATCTCCTTTGTAATGCTACTGTATCTTTCGGCCTTCTAATCCTTGATTAGAGGTGGGGCCCGGGCCCCGCTGTTCACATCCATCAGTCCAGAAGCAAGTTCAGGTGGGAGAGGTTGGTTCAGCTATTTACACTAACAGCCAAGCTGCAGAGTTGGGCCCTGGCTCCATGCTTGCCTAAATCCAGACCCTGTCCCACCCAGGGGTCAATCAGGCCCCGTTGTGGTTTATCCTGGCGTTGTGTAGCCGCCTGAGGGGGGTGGAGCAGCTCTCTCTGTCTCACGCTGGTCTCTCTGTCATGGCATGTGTCGTGTTTCTTCACGAGGTAGCAGAGGCACCCCAGGGTCAGCTCAGGGAGCGTCAGCACATGAAATACAAAGGCCTGTCAAGGGAGCGGGTTGGTAATGACTGTAATTTCCCGCCTACGGTTGAGTTTCAAACAGATTTTTCTTTTACCAGTAAGGGAGCAGGAATAGCACCTCAAGTAGGTGACGAAACAGCCAGATTGCACTCCAGCAGCGGCTTCTCGCTGCCTCCGTTCTTTGGGAGGAACCCTGGCAAGGAGGAGCCACGTTTCCCCCAAAAGATGGTAAAAGTCCCTCTTGGATTATGGATGTCAGAGGGGAAAACTGGCTCCTGCT